TCAAGCGGGTAAATATGACCCGGTTTCATTCCCTTAAGGTTCCAACTTTTGGGGCTATAGGCATTTTAAAATTAAGAGTCGCTACGAAAAAAAAACTGATTTCGGCCCGAAGGACAGCGTCACCTGAATTCACAAATTATGGAGAATGATATTGGGTATTATTTGCATGTCTATGACAGCGCGCTGCGTATTTATAGCCAAAATAAATCTGAATATCAAACCGCAAACTATCTTTACTGCGGTCAAAAACCGATGCAAATAGAAAAAGCAACAGCGTCCTAAATAAGAAAACATCTTCATCAGTTTAAAATACTGATGAAATACTCGCAACACAACCAAATACAGAAACACGCTGCAAATGCTCACAACACACGCAAATAAAGAAATGCGCTGCAAATATTCACAACACAAACAAATACAGAAACGCGCAAGTAGCACAGACCACAACAAAACGAAAATTAACCATGTTACATTTTTTTGGCATATTGATTAGCATTTGTATAACCACAGTTGTACAAATACCATGGTTAAACTATGGTTAATGTAGTAAATCCATGGTTAATTTGTGCATGATTACAGTAACCATTTTTTGTTTTAATTTTTTATATAATAAATGTATTTATTTATTTATTAATTAAATAATTTGAATAGTAAAACCACAGGCTATAGTTAATTTTTGTAAGGTAAGTTGTAAAAGTAAGTTAGCCAGCTTACATAACATTACAGTAACTGTGTATTTCGTAAGCTTATTTATATCCACAAAAAAAGAAAGAAAGAAAGAAAGAAAAGCGTCACCTGAATTCACAAATTATGGAGAATGATATTGGGTATTATTTGCATGTCTATGACAGCGCGCTGCGTATTTATAGCCAAAATAAATCTGAATATCAAACCGCAAACTATCTTTACTGCGGTCAAAAACCGATGCAAATAGAAAAAGCAACAGCGTCCTAAATAAGAAAACATCTTCATCAGTTTAAAATACTGATGAAATACTCGCAACACAACCAAATACAGAAACACGCTGCAAATGCTCACAACACACGCAAATAAAGAAATGCGCTGCAAATATTCACAACACAAACAAATACAGAAACGCGCAAGTAGCACAGACCACAACAAAACGAAAATTAACCATGTTACATTTTTTTGGCATATTGATTAGCATTTGTATAACCACAGTTGTACAAATACCATGGTTAAACTATGGTTAATGTAGTAAATCCATGGTTAATTTGTGCATGATTACAGTAACCATTTTTTGTTTTAATTTTTTATATAATAAATGTATTTATTTATTTATTAATTAAATAATTTGAATAGTAAAACCACAGGCTATAGTTAATTTTTGTAAGGTAAGTTGTAAAAGTAAGTTAGCCAGCTTACATAACATTACAGTAACTGTGTATTTCGTAAGCTTATTTATATCCACAAAAAAAGAAAGAAAGAAAGAAAGAAAGAAAAAAGCTAAGAAATGTATGATCAGGATGTTAAAATAAACAAAAATCTTTTCAGAGCAAACATTGATAAATATGTCCCAGCCATGTTCGTCACTTTGCGGTTCCCTTAAATATTTTCGATGTAGTCTGTGCCTCTATTTGCAGCGCTTTTCTTTATTTGTTTGTATTGTATTTGCAGCGCGTGTCTTTATTTATTTGTGTTGTGAGCATTTGCAGCGCGTGTTGTCAAATTGATGAATATGATTTCTTAATTTGCAGGTGTTTTTTCTATTTGCCTGTGTTTTTTGTTTTGCAGCGCGTTGAGCTCTCTCGGCCACCGTACAGATCACATAATAGTTTCCTTTTGAAACGACTGGATAAATGTACAGTAAATGAAACCATACCTTACCTTAGTCTGCGTCTAGAAAAATATAAATAAGAAATAAAAATACCAGTAGTGTATAGCTGTGTATTCCTTTGCTTCAGGCACATCAGTGCAATGCACAGACAACTAATCAAGACTGTCTATTTAGCTTTGTAAAATCAGTTGATGTGAGATGGTGGCATTGTAAAAAATACCAATAATGGGCTCACAGTCTTTGTGAGGTGAGCATTACCTTAGTGTTAAATAGGTATTACCTTAATTTAACTTACCTTTGGACTTTTTATACAAACATTTTCCTGTTTCTGATTTTCGTTTGTTTTTAGATCCAGCCGTTCTCTTCATTTTACGCTTCATGGATTAAATTCAGATCCTAAACGACAGGTGCAGGCTTTATGAGTGAGGAGCTGCAAAAATAGCCGTTACAGATTACAGAAACAAGGAAGTAATTAGATACTTCGTATAGTGCAGAAAATTGATTATTTAGATAGCATTATGTGTTTATTTAGTACTGTGGGCATGTTTTATTGTGATCATCACGAATAGCACAAGTCCGTGATGTAACATACGTCTTTGCACATGTTAATAAAAAAAATACATGCAGGTAATAATAAAAGCAAAAAGGTAACTTTTGCATCATCCGTTGCGGTTTGTTTATATTTTCTTCTAGTGCAACAGCCACAGAATGTCTAAACATGTTCAGTTTGTTCATAGTAGTAGTAGAAAAATGTGTACTCACGTGTCACGCAGAAACCACATACGACGAAATCTTAATTTAACTTACTGGTTGAAGAGCCCAAGTTAAAGCCAATAAATGAATAAAGTTATGCAACAAACGAGCGCAAAACCCCCACGCATGCACGCACTACAATATTCAAAAGAAGAGAAAAGCGCGGGAACCCAAACACTACAGGAAACATGACGCAAGAGGTCGAGGATTTTTACTTTCGTTTTGTACAGTGAGTATATATAAGGTCAACATCATACAAATGAACAACACAAATGTTACATTAGTATCTCAATCTCCAGACTACTGATTTATATAATATTATGTGTATCTATTATAGATCAGTGCTCCAGTGTCCAGACCTATGAGATCACTTCCTCCTGCGACGTGTGCCTGCAGAACGGATGCGAGCAGCCTGACGGATGTTCATGTATCTTTCTTCTACATCTACATCTTGCTGGAGAGAGAGGCAGAGAGTCTGATGATGAAGAATGGATGAAGGGGAGGTGCTAGAAGGGGTGCTAGGGTTGACCAGGGGTCCCATCACTGGAGCTTCTCTGCTCCTGTCTATCTCCACTATCCCAGAGTCTGAAGATCTTTGTTTCTCCTCTCTGTCCTTCAGTCTGGTTAGACTGTTACTCAGGGTGATGTTCTCCTGCTGCAGAATCCTGATCCTCACTGAGTTTGCCTTGAGCTGCTGCTCCATATCACACATCACATCACCTGTAGCTGCGACACACACAGACAACTGGTTATGAATGACAGTTAGGAGAGGGAATCACAAGAAATGTAACCATTTTAGTTCCTCTTCCGAAAGGTATTTGTTTGTACAGACTTTCAAATGAGGTTTTGCAGTCTTTTGAAAGAGGCGACATCAATGCAATCCAATAATTGGCCTTTGTATAAGATAATAATACTAAAATGTGTTAACTTATTTTTTAATACTTCTGACAGAAATACAATTATTTAAGCCTCACAGGCCTTATGCACAACTAAACATAAGTTGTAAGCTGTATGATTAATTCACTGGAAAAAAAATGTCTCATAAAAGTTGTTCGTTAGAGAATCAATCTAGTTTTGATTTACTGAAAAGAACAAACTCAAGAGGGAACATTATGTTCACGAATCAGACGACAGTGGTCGTGCTGTATGTGACTTGTTAGAGTCATACATTGGGGAAATGCTGATGTTTTTTGTTTACTATACATCCGGCTCATAGAGTTCTTCTTTCAGGTAACTGGACTACACTGGTCACACTGCATGTTTGTGCACTTAAAAGGATCCAGTTCACAAGAGTCATTTGTTCTTGAATCGGACCTCACTGGTTTCTGTATGTTTTGTGCTGTAGATTCAGTAGCAGTGCTCCTGAAAAGTATAAAGCAGATTAGTGCCCACCCACTTCTTCAGCAGAACAGCATTCTAGCATACTACTGTTACTCATACTCTTGCTGATCCAAACACAGACAATGCCAGAATATACAGTGCATACAAAACCAAATGCTATTTTCACTTACTCTGTTCACCACAGTTCAAATGTTTTACCTTTAGTACAAATAACATTCTTGTATTTAGACGTTGTAACATCTAACACTATTTGTCTGTGTAAACGAGATGCTACTGTTGCTACTAACAAACAGTAACTACCATTATTTACACTGTATAAATAGCCACTGGCTTTAAAACATGGAACTGCTTCTGAAGAAGAACCTGTTTTTCAACTCTAGTGGCATGAGTGGTCACCATCCTACAGATGAAGTCAAAAGTTTACACACACCTTGAAGAATCTGCAAAATGTTAATTATTTCACCGCAATGAGAGGGATCATACAAAATGCATGTTATTGTTTATTTAGTACTGACCTGAATAAGATATTTCACATAATTAAGACGTTTACATATAGTCTACAAGAGAAAATAATAGTTGAATTTATAAAAATGACCCTGATTCTTAATACTGTGTTGTTACCTGAATGATCCACAGCTGTGTTTTTTTGGTTTAGTGTCAGTTGTTCATGAGTCTCTTGTTTGTCCTGAACAGTTAAAACTGCCTGCTGTTCTTTAGAAAAATCCTTCAGGTCCCACAAATTCTTTGGTTTTCCAGCATTTTTGTGTATTTGAACCCTTTCCAACAATGACTGTATGATTTTAAGATCCATCTTTTCACACTGAGGACAACTGAGGGACTCATGCAACTATTACAGAAGGTTCAAACGCTCACTGATGTGCCAGAAGGAAACACAATTCATTAACTTTTGAATTTGAAGATCAGGGTCAATTTAACTTATTTTGTCTTCTGGGAAACATGTAAGTACCTTTTGTAGCTTCTGAAGGGCAGTACTAAATGAAAAAATATTATATTTAGGCAAAATAAGAAAAATTTACACATCTTCATTCTGTTCAAATGTTTTCAAGTGTATGTAAACTTTTGACTTCAACTGTATATGATTTTGAATGCGTGTGTTTATCTCACTCTGTGGTGCTGCTTGTGGATTGAGCTCAGGAAAGGCCACAAGTATCCTTTCTCTCTGGGAGGCTTCTTCTAGCATCTGTTTCAGATGAGACACACTCTCCTTCAGTTCTGTGATCTGTGTTTGCTGCTGCTGTTTCTCAGTACTCTGTGAACTACAGTGGGACTGCAGAGAAAGAAACACTTAAGGTTTACTTTTATTGGTGTGGTCTAATGTAGTCAGGCTGATTCAGTCATACTAAATATTTTTGACCGAGTTCTTTTAAATGTTACCTGTTGCTGTGTGAACTGCTCCTGAAGTGCATCTTTTTCTTGTATGATCTGTGTGAGTTTGTTTGCAAGATCAGCTTTTTCATCCTCACATTCTTCCAGACTGCTATGTAGATCTTCAGTCTGCTGAACCAGCACATCCAGATGCTTACGCAGAGCTGCCTGTTTCACTTGAAGCGCCTGTGCACAAAATGTTTCACAGTCGAATCAAATAAAAATCACATCTCATCGTTTTCTCATTGAATATTCTGTTTTACTTGGAAATGCATCATGTTATGGAAATAAACACACCTCATGTTGGCGTCGCACACTGTGGTTCTTGGCACTCTCTTTGTCCAGCAGTGTCTGTGTACTTCTGAGCTCCTTCTCCAGGTTTTGCCTGCTCTCCTCTACCTCTCTTAACATGTTCTCCAGTGAATGTAGACGACGAACCTCCTCCTGTAGTGTAGCCCTCTCATATTCTATACAACAAAAAAGCCATTTCTTGTTATCCCAAAACCATTCCTGCAGGCCTTTACTACATTCTCTAATTCAGGGGTTTCCAAACTGGGGTCGAGCGATCCCCAGAGGATCATAGAGGAGTGCCCTCAGAAAATTTGAGAGAAAACCCCCCAAAATATGAAAGTATTTATTAGGACTGTGTAACCTAAGCTATTAAATATGTTTAAATTAATATTTTTTAAACACATTTATAGAATGTACTGTTTTGTTCTGCTTTCTAAAGAAATCGATCACAGTTTTGCAGTAGCCTATAAAATAAAGACCAAACCTGTCTATCGTTTTGTGAAAAATAAATCAATCCTTCCTTTTGATATACAGTGCCTTGCGAAAATATTCATACCCCTTCATTTTTTTCACAATGTTGTTAAGTTGCTGCCTTATGTTAAACTGCTTTAAATTACTTTTTTCCCACATCAATCTACACTCCATACACCATAATGGTAAAGCAAAAAACAGGGTTTTAACATCTTTGCAAATTTATTAAAAATAAAAAACTTAAATTATTCCATTGCATAAGTATTCATCCAAATTCATCAAGTATTCATACCCTTATCTGGGACAGTTGAAATTTAGCTCAGGAGCATTCATATTGCTTGTAGATGTTACTACACTTTGAGTGAAGTTAACCTGTGGCACATTCAATTGAATGGGTATGATTTGGAAAGGCACTCAATAAAAGGTCTAACAGCTGATAATGCATATCAGAGCAAAAACCAAGCCCTGAGGTCAAACGAACTGCCTGTAGAGCTCAGAGACAGGTTTGTGTCAAGCCACACATCTGGGGAAGATTTCAGAAAAAAAATCTGCTTCATTGAAGGGTCACAGAAGCATGTAGTCTCTGTTACCCTTAATGGAAGAAGTTTGAAACAACCAGGACTCTGCCTAGAGCTGGACATCTGTTCAAACTGAGCAACTGATGGAGAAGGGCTTTGGTTAGTGTGGTGACCAAGAACCTGATGGTCACTCTAGTTGAGCTCCATGATCATATGTGGAGACAGGAGAAACCTACAGAAGGACATTCCAAGCATCATGTTTGAAGGAAACCAGGCACTGCTCGTCACCTGCAGAGTACCACCTCAAAAGTAAAGTGTGCTGGTAGCAGCCTCATGTTGTGGAGCTGTTTTTCAGCGGCAGGGACCGAGGGACTGGTCAGAGTAGAAGATAAGCTCAATGAACCAAAATATTGAGTTAGCCTTAATGAAAACCCAGTCCAGAGTATTCAGAACCTCAGACTGGGCAGTTCACCTTCCAACAGGACAATGAACCTAAACACACAGCAAGAGTGGCATCTGTGAATGTCCTTGAGTGGCCCAGCCACAGCCTGGGATTGAACCCAATCAAACATTTCTGGAGAAACCTGAAAATGTGCATCTGCCCCCATCCAAACTGACAGAGCTTGAGAGGTGAAGAGGTGAGGAGAAGAATTGCAGATAATTGCCAAATGCTGATGATCAAAGCTTGTAGTATCAAACAAAAAAGACTTGAGACTGTAAAGGTGCTTCAGCGAAATATTTAGTTATGGGTATGAGACAAATATCACTGCAACACTCCACTGATCTGGGCTTTATGTCAGAGTGGCCAGATTCAATTTTCTCCTCAGTGAAGACACATGAAAACACACTTGGATTTTGCATAAAAACACCTAAAATGTTTAATAACAGTTTTTATTAGTGTTTGAGTTTCTACTTGCTCACTTGAAGTTGTAAGGCACTATTAGATGTATAAACCTGCTCTGAAATATTTATTTTGAGAAGCAATGCATTTAAATTACTTTAACTGTGGGTAGAAAACAAGGACTTTTGTCTTTGTATTAACATTCTTAATATTTTTCTCACACAGTATAAATAGCTCTTTATATATCAAATTTAAATTACTTGCAAAGTGGTCATCATATTTCAGGGTCATTGACATCAAAAATGTATTTCATATCATATATTTACTAATTGCTATGAGAAAGATAGGTTCATTTTATATAATTTTATATGAACATTTATGTATTTTAAACTACTGCACAAATCAAAGCTTTTAAACATTTTATTCCAGTTGCTTCCGGTGGCCAGTACTTGATGATGTCCTGCTTACCAAGACTCTGTTTTGCTTCTGTTTGCAAATTCAGTTCTGCCGTGAGTTCAGAATTTCGGTCCTCCAACAATGTTATGCCTGTGAATGAAAATGATTATTACTTTATATTCTTTAACTGTTATATAAGAATTTTTACATATGAGTTTAAAGAAACTCCCACCTCTCTTTAACTCCTCCTTCTCCTGCTTTAACCTCCTTACTGTTTCCTCTGCCCTGGATTTCACTTCCTGCATTCTGCACTCCCACTCCTCCTCCATCTTCCTCCTCTCCTCCTTCTCTCTTTTGACCGTTTCTGATAGCTGTTTTCTCAGCTTCTCTCGCTCCATCTCTGTCTCTTTCAGCTTCTTTTTCAGCGGCTCAACAGTTTCTCTCACCTCCAGTTGAAAAAGAACAGTCATGAAAATCAAATGAGTGAAATAATCAAAATAAATTGACAAAAGTGTAAACATCCAAACAAAAAAATTTATTTTCTCATGCTTTCTGATGGGTGGACACAACCCCTCACCTCCAGGACATGTTTCCCCACACGACTCATATCTCTACGCTGCTCACTTGCCCATTGGGAAATGTCACATGCAGACAAGCGGCCCAGCTGCTGCGTTTCCTCCACAGCTTCCAGGAAGCCCTGAATGGAGCAAGGCAAACCCAGAGACTGGCACAGTGACACTAAAGCATCACTGCTCTCCTTCATAACCGCCTGAACACAAGCACAGGCCTCACAGGGCACCAGGGCCGACTCTACTGTCTGACAGCCCACGGTGTGAATAGACACACAGGAGCCTGCAGCGGACGCTCTCTCATGCTGGAATGTTGCTGGAGTTGAAGCTGGGGTATTTGTGGTGGTTTTCTGGATGCTGGTCATGGAGGTGCTCTGTGTCTTGTGTGTGTTAATGGTAGTAGTGTTTGCTGCTGTTCTGGTAATGGATGGACTTTGTTGAGATGGAGGTTGCTGTCCATTACTGGTACTCTGCAAGAAGAGACCCTTTAGCAAGGATAATATTTGATAGGCGTTGATCAAGTGTTTTGTGTTTTGTCTTTATCATCCTTCTTACCTCTTTTGCTTGTTGACAGCTGAGCTGAAGTAGGTTCCTCCAGTAGCATTTGACCACAGGACCAATGGAAACAGAGGTTTCCTTTTGATCAGATGACAAAGCTCTCTGCTTTTCAAGCAACAGCTCAGCATGAATGTTAAAACTCTGAAGAAGAAGCATTAATCTTTGACAAACACACAAATGAACATAATGATTTGGGGAAAATAAAACGATACATTTAACTGTTTATGTTACATTATATAATGCATTAAATATAATTATGCATTATAAGTTATTTCACATTTAAACACACACACAACATTAATTTATATATATATACACGACAAGTGACAATGATGTTAGTTCAAATATTAACGTGCAATCGATATAACTACATAAATATAAAATATATGACTTAATTTTTATATGTTTTTATAAATATAAATATAAATAATTAAAAAACATACATTTGTAGTGTTTTCACGAAACAGTACAAATTAACTACCTGTCAATCAGCAACTCTTGCAGGACTATATGGGAGTGCTGACTGAACTCTTCATCGCCATCCACATAATCATACTCTTCTAAAAGGCTGACCAAGTCCAGATTACATGATAGTTTATCGGGAAACTTCCATGATGGGAAACGGACTGGTCCAGTCTTAGAAAACACATCCAGAACCGCTCCCTGTAAATCAATAAGATCTCTGCGAAGACTGTCGATACAGTCCTGACGACCTAACAGATGAGTCATAGTTCTGACTGAATCTACTTTTGTTCTTTAATCGTTTGAGTTTTCGGAGCAGGAACATGTGCATTAGCTCTATTTACATTAGGTTTCCATAGTTGCTTGTAGGCAGAATCGTTCCTCTTCAACTACATTTCCCACAATCCCCATTGGCCTTGCTACCGGAAGTGATTTTGTTTGTCGTCTTCTGTTGTGTGGCGGTTGGCGCAACGAGAGGTTGGTGAAGTTTTATTCAACTGTACATAGAAATGATATTATTTCAGTAATTTTCAAGGCTTTACGTTGTCTTTTGTCCAACAAATTACGCTTTAAACTGACAATAATTCTTTATTTTTCTTAGCGTATTTGGTTCGGCCTGAGAAGAGCGTGTAGTGTCGCAGTCATGCCGCCTGGGCCTGTGCAGATCATGCAGCCGGAGCTAAATAACAAGGTATGAAGCGATCATTTGTTGATATCTGTTCTTTTATAGACAGTACTGGATAAATTCATCTGACTTCTATTCACTTACTAACATATGTGTCTTCCATGAACAAACGGACATGTTATTGGACCATAGTATTGCGGGTTTGTAGATCGTGGTTTGAGTAGGGAAATGAATCGACCTCCCCTACCACAGCTTGAGTCTAGTCAGAACTTTTATAATAAGTAATATATTTTTCTATTACGTTCCTTTTGCATAGCCCAGCTATTATTGCATTTATTAAGTAAATAAATTACTGCCAAATATTATTTCTTTCATCATTCCTAAATAATATTGCATTATATATGTATATACTGAATGGACTGTTCTTGGCCAGATTAAGCTATAGTAGGCTATGCACCAAAATTAATGCCAGTAGCTGAAATTTGGCTTGTGATTGTTGTGAAGCACCAGATTAATTAAGCTATGCAATGTTTTAATCAACAGCCCGAGGACCAGAAGGAAGAGACTCCAGCCACAAAGCCCATTGTTGGAATCATCTACCCGCCTCCCGAAGTCCGAAATATTGTTGACAAGACTGCCAGCTTCGTGGCCAGGTTTGACATTATAATGTAGTGCAAAATTTCTTTGTTGTACTTTGTTAAACTAATAATTAACCACTTTTTTTTTGTTTATAGGAATGGACCTGAGTTTGAGGCCAGAATTCGACAGAATGAGATCAACAACCCAAAATTCAACTTCCTCAACCCCAACGACCCTTACCATGCCTACTACCGCCACAAAGTCAATGAGTTCAAGGAGGGCAAAGCTCAGGAACCATCTGCAGCTGTGCCTAAAGTCATGCAACAGCAACAAGCAGCTTCACAGCAGCTTCCTCAGAAGGTCAGGAACCTGTCAGTGATTTACAATACACCAATAACATTATTGAAATAAAACCAGTCAAGCCATAATCTAGCAGTCTGATTTAAAAGTCTTTCAGATCTAAATCTGTTATCCAGTACTTACACATCTTTGTGGTAATTTAGGTTCAAGCACAGGTGATCCATGAGACGGTGGTGCCCAAGGAGCCTCCACCTGAGTTTGAGTTCATTGCCGACCCTCCCTCCATCTCAGCCTTTGACCTGGATGTGGTGAAGCTGACCGCACAGTTTGTCGCCCGAAATGGCCGACAGTTTCTCACACAGCTGATGCAGAAGGAGCAGAGGAACTTCCAGTTTGACTTTCTACGACCACAGCACAGCTTGTTCAACTACTTTACAAAACTGGTGGAACAATACACAAAGGTACGGCATCAATACTCAGGACAATTCAGATTGAGGTGGCTAAAGAGAGCTGGGTATTATGGGAAACATTATTACATGTACAAGTTATTCAAGTGTGACATTAAATTCACTTAAATGATTGGCTTCTTGCAGGTTTTAATCCCTCCAAAAGGTCTTCTGCTGAAACTAAAGAGGGAAGCTGAGAATCCACGTGAGGTCTTGGACCAGGTAATTATAACAGCCATTCCAGATCACACATAGTGGATAAGATGTCTACATAAGATATGCCTAATATGACGGTGGTGTATTATGTTGATTCAGGTGTTTTAAAACCAATAGAGAGAATTTACGGTGAATCAAAGAGTTTTAGATATATTACATGCCATATTATAAGCAAATACACCACTTCATTCCCCAATATTTTAGGTGAGGTATCGTGTGGAGTGGGCCAAGTTCCAGGAAAGAGAGAGGAAGAAGGAAGAGGAGGAGCGAGAGAAGGAGAGAGTGGCTTATGCTCAGATTGACTGGCATGACTTTGTGGTGGTGGAGACTGTGGACTTCCAACCAAATGAGCATGGTGAGCATGTGTAATTAACACAGTTTATGTAATTTTAGATATTTCAGAATGTTTATTATCACAAACATACTATTGCATCAGAAGAATACTTGTGATTTTTCATGGCAAGAAATTTCCTAAATCCCAAAGCCAATTGCTTTTGTTACAGACACAATCTCACTTTTATTGTAAGATCATGGAGAATTTTTTTGTACTATACCAATGAAAATGTTATTATTAATATAATTTACTTAATATTTGTCCATATTAATCAAATCAAATACATATTTTTAAAATTATATAAATTAATAAAATAATTTATATAACTATTATGCAAATTACAGGTAATTTCCCTCCTCCCACAACTCCTGAGGAGCTGGGTGCTCGTATCCTGATCCAGGAGCGCTATGAGAAGTTTGGAGAGAGTGAGGAGGTGGAGATGGAGGTAGAGAGTGAAGATGAAGAGGATGAGAGAGAGCGCAGGGTGGGCGGACACGCAGCTCAGCTGGACCAGGACACACAGCTGCAGGACATGGACGAGGTGAGACAATTAGGGTGATCATGCCAAAGAGACGAGGACGATTTAGTCATGCTTACTTTAAGAAGTTCCATGTTCACATATGAAAATAGATGAGCAGTTTGTAGAAATGGGTTAACTATCACTCTGACTGACTAGTATGTGTTCTTCCTCTCTCAATAAGGGCTCTGATGATGAGGATGATGGCATGAAGGCTCCTCTCCCCCCTGATAACCCCCTGCCACCACCTCTGCCCCCCACCCCGGACCAGGTTATTATCCGCAAAGACTATGACCCCAAGGGTAAGGGCATTTATAAAAACACACTTTTAACATACTAGAACAAGTAGCACATATTTCATTGCATCCACTCACTTTCTATCTCATCTTTCAGCATCTAAGCCTCTGCCTCCTGTGGCCATCCCTGATGACTACCTCATCTCTCCCATCACTGGTGAGAAGATCCAAGCCAGTAAGATGCAGGAGCACATGCGCATCGGCCTGCTGGACCCCCGCTGGCTGGAGCAGCGTGACCGCAGCATCCGAGAGCGTCAGATCGAGGAGGAGGTGTACGCTCCCGGCCTGGACATTGAGAGCAGCCTGAAGCAGCTGGCCGAGAGACGTACCGATATCTTCGGTGTGGAAGAAACGGCCATCGGTAAGAAGATCGGAGAGGAGGAGATACAGAAACCAGAGGAGAAGGTAAGAAACACAAAGAAAAAAAAAAAATCCACTGTTCAACATTATTAGTAGACAAATTAATTAAAAACTATAGTGAAAAATGTGTTTTAAGAGACTTTCTAAAAGTCTGTAAGACCAAAAAAGTTGAAGAAACACCCATTAACACTTAAACCAGATCACTAAAACTAATTATTTAACCGTCTGGTGATCTTCAGTAAATAAAACAAAATTGTTTTATGAACAATTAGAAAGGACTAAATGGTCTTAGTCACACTTCATAATCAAAAATGAAAAAAACTTATTTTTCAAAAATAAAAAATGTGTGTGTGTTAAAGTAAAAATAAGTAAATGAATAGATTCATGTATAGGAATTATTTAATGTAGGGCTTATTGTATTTTATATAAAAATAAATGGTGTATAGCCTAATTTAAAGATGAGCATTGTGTAGTACCATGAAATCCTCTCAGAATACAAAATATTAAAGAATAAATACCATTAAATATAATTTCATTAATAAAAAAAATTACTATGCTTATTGTCTTTAGTGTGTTTTGACCACCGAGGATCACAAGTGTGACCCCTGAGTGAGGAATACCAGAGGGACGTTGTGTTCGTCTAACACCCCATCCTCTTACTCCACAGGTCACATGGGACGGTCACTCAGGCAGTATGGCTCGTACCCAGCAGGCTGCTCAGGCTAACATCACCCTGCAGGAGCAGATTGAGGCCATCCACAAAGCTAAAGGTCTGGTACAGGAGGATGACACCAAGGAGAAGATCGGCCCCAGCAAGCCCAACGAGATTCCTCAGCCACCCTTGCCATTAGTAGTCCCCAGCCTGCCCAAACCCACCCCACCCATCAGCACCACACCTGCTGTGAGTCTCAATCTGTTTCTGCATTCAGGAGTTTTGAAAGATCAGCTTGATTGAGACAAACACAAAAATGAAAGTGCTAGTTCTAACTAAAGGTTCTTTCGTATATTCCAGATGGCACCTCCAATGCGGACTACATTGCTCCCTGCGGTTCCTATCATACCCAGACCTCCAGTGGCCCCTGTGGTGCGCCTGGCCCCTGGGCAAGTTCTGGCCCCCATGCCACCCATGCTGCATGCCCCTCGCATCAATGTGGTGCCTATGCCGCCCTCTGCACAACATATTATGGCACCCAGACCTCCACCCATGGTGGTTCCTGCTGGTGAGTCTTTGGGATAATAGATCTGTTGCATAGCTACTTGGTACACATTTTAATAAATATTTAATCAACAGACTTTTCTATGTTGTATATTAAAATTGTAATGATTATATTAATAGTTAAAATAATAATGATTTATATTCTATTGATAATTATTGTTATATTTAATAAACCTTTCTGTCATATAAGGATTTTAATAAATAAGTAATAGTTTTAATAATTAATTTAATAATTGTATTAATTTTATGAATAATAATTGTTCTAATTAATAAATCATTTTTGTTTTCAGCATTTGTACCAGCTCCCCCTGTGCCTCAACCTCCCAGCTCTGTTGCCGCCCCTATGCCTCCTGCCCATCCTCCACCTCCTCACGAGGACGAGCCTTCCAGCAAGAAGATGAAGACCGAGGACAACCTGATTCCAGAAGAGGAGTTCCTGCGTAGGAACAAGGTACAGCGCTGCTGCAACAAAGTGTTTCGAGTGCACTTAGCAATCAGTATTGTTTTCTTTTTTACTGTTACTACATAAGGGTGATTTGTTAATAATTTGACCTTTGCTCTCTTTTAGGGACCTGTTGGAGTCAAGGTCCAGGTGCCCAACATGCAGGACAAGACAGAATGGAAGCTGAGTGGCCAAGTGCTGAACTTCAGCCTGCCTCTCACAGACCAGGTGAAGACTTTGCCTATCCAGTATCTGTCTGCACCATTTGTACATATTTTAACTACTAATCTTTAGGATTATACGAAATCTGTATAGAATTCATGAAAGTGTGAGCTAATCAAATGCCATTTTGTGCCTCAGGTGTCTGTCATCAAGGTTAAGATCCATGAAGCCACTGGAATGCCGGCTGGAAAACAGAAGCTGCAGTATGAGGTAAATTATTTCAGTGGAATGACGAGATGGTTATTTAAACTGTGAATGCTTAAAAGAACAAGGCCATCTTAGTTATGACATTATTAAATATAAAATACTTGCTTTGAAAACTGAGATCTCATGTTGTGTTGGATTCTCCAGGGAATTTTCATCAAAGATTCCAACTCTCTGGCCTATTACAACATGAACAATGGATCCGTCATTCATCTGGCCCTTAAGGAAAGAGGAGGAAGGAAGAAGTAGATCGCTCATATTCATCATCTCCGTTTCAATCCTCAACATTTATTGTGGTTATAACCCTACTACATTTGTACACTTCAAAGAACTTGTGCTGTGCTCTGTAGAAAAACTGTAGTTAGAAGTAATCAGTGTCTTGTGATTATCTTACCAATGTGTTTTAAACATTCAGTGTATGAATGATTAAATAAGACAACATTTAATATTGGCAGTAGTCTCCTAGCAAACTGCCCTATTTTTAGTTTCACTTTTCACTGAGGTGATTGTGTTAAATATTTGAAAATCTCAAGTTAAGCATTGAAACATTGCATTTTGTTGGATGCAAAATAAATACTTGTCTCTTAGGAAAACGTACCTAATAAATTTCAATAAGAAATGTTATTAGCCATACTGTCTTTTTTCTCTCTCACAAACATTGGTATTATGATATCGTATTTACGAGTTTAACGCACATGAACGCCACCACAAAGTCGTTGTTACGAGTGGGAAACTAAATTTTCTTTAAAGGGGTCATGTGATGCTGCTAAAAAGAACATTATTTGGTGTAATGAAATGTTTATGCGGTTTAAGGTTCAAAAAACATTATTTTCCACATACTGTACATTATTGTTTCTCCTCTATGCCCCGCCTTTATGAAACGCGTCGATTTTTACAAAGCTCATCGTTCTAAAAAAGCGAGGTGTGCTGTGATTGGCCAGCTATCCAATGCGTTGTGATTGGCCGAATACCTCAAGCATGTGACGGAAATGTTACCAGATCTTCTTTATGCACCAAGAGCTTGTAACACTCCAAAGAGAAAGGAAAAATTGAAATCTCATCATATGACCCCTTTAAAGTTCAGAGTTTCCGAGTTGGGGGCGTGTCAGTGATAAAAACGTGTCCGATGCAATGGACGCAGCCAAAGACTAGATATGCAGCATCTGTATTGACGGTAAATTTGTTGAAATAAATTTTTTTTTTTTTTATGTACAATAAAACTATATAAGTTACATATACAAAATATTATATTGTTGTATAATTACCATAGAATATATAATGATTTAGTTCATCACCTTCAATAAAAACAGAAAAAAAGCAAAAACACGATACACATTCTTTATTCATCATTTTGTAGATGTAGAGTTTTAAAAAATCGTTGAATTTTATGTAGAAAAGTTAAATCGCCATCTTGTTCCAACCAAAGTGACTTGAACGCACCTGACGTCGTAATTACGATTTGTCAACTCATAAGTACGAACGTCCCAGGAGGACTTGAATGCAGCATTACTTATTTTTCATATTACAGTATTTGAGTTTTGGTCGGCATTGATAAGATGGGGCTATTACCCAATTATTAGTTCAGACTATGGGTACACTTCATTTCCAGCGATATCGTTGATTTGATTGCAAATGATTGCAAAGATACTTTTTAAACTGAACTGAGCTGGATGATGACATCACTGAATTCAATGATGAACTGTCTTTAACTGGAAAATTAGTGTTTACTATTGTCATTTTGCATTATTGACACACTATTTTCCTAATTAATGCTGTTCAGTTGCTTTGACACAATCTGTATTGTTAAAAGCGCTATATAAATAAAGGTGACTGACTGACTGACTAAATAATACCTCCGAAAAAAGTTATAGCCCCTCACATAAACGCAAAAGATCATTTCCGTTTCCGGAGGCTTTTATTTTGAAAGCGTGTCTTCAGCGGAATTCGCGTTACATTTTCAGGTCATAGGTGAATATTTAGCGGGAGATACCAAAAATCAACACAGAGTAGGTCGACCAGATTTTGTTCTTGATTTTGTTTACTTTATCGTCGAATCAAACTAGTTTTACAATATATTGTAGAAAAACAACAGCGCAAATAAGAAACAAGGTAAGAAAGTGAAGCTAACTATTGAGCTGTTAGCATACAGTGATATCCGCGTTTACAATTCTCCTAATATTGCATTTATATTTTATTTACACACAATTGTTTAATTGATACTTTTCCGTCCATAAACGTGCCTTCAGTCATGTTCTCAAACGTGATCGCTCCGAGGGAGACGCTATTGTCTGCTCCAGGCTCAGAGGAGCCGGTGTTTGACCGTCTCCAGCTCTCACACAGCGGCTGCTCGGAGAGATTCCGCCTCGGCGAGCGCAACTTCAGCCGCCAGTACGCGCACATCTACGCCACCAGACTCATGCAGATGAGAGACGTCCTCGCTGGCAGAGCCGCGCACAAGTGGGGTGAGACACATCTATAGTCACTGACAGGCTCGTGTTGCTGTTGTGTTTTACCTGAAGCACTTCTGAGCATGAGTGGATGTGTGTGGCAGGCGGTGTCGTGCCCATCAGGAAGCTGTGTGACCTGCAGACGGGTGAACAGTGTATAATAGTGGGCGCCATATTCAAAAACATGGAGCTGCCCTCCATCCTGAAGGAGATCAGTGAGGAGGTACAACTCCACCTGATGTTACAAACGCACGCTTCCTGTCCTCTCAGTCTTCCCTTCTTTAACATGTCTTTTCTCTCTCTTCTTCAGCACAATCTATTGCCTCAACCACCTCGTGCCAAATACATCAGCCAATCAGATGAGCTTATTTTGGAGGATGA